AATAATATTTTTATTAATTAATTAGTTTTGAATATTATTTTTATTAATATTATTAATATTGTTAATTATTGCTAACATTATTTTTTTAATTATTAATATTAATAATTATTTTTTAATTATTATTATTACTACTTTTAGTTAATATTAATATCATTATTTGTTATTAAATATTATTAATATTATTTTTAGTATTATTAATTATTATTAATATTATTTTTATTAATTATTAATTTTTTGTAACTTATTAATGTTTTTTCTATTATATATATTACTAAAAAATAAAATATTGTATTTTAATGATTAACGGCATAGATAATCTCACATGTTGTAGTTGAGATGCATGGAATCAAACACATGATATGGACAGAAATGTGCCACACCTTATAAAATGCTCATTAAAGCGTAGTATGGATCAGTACACACATTTTTGTCCATGGTGCAGAACAACTATTCTGTTGGGGTGCGGTGTGTTTTCATCTACACCACACCACCCAATTTCTCATCTCCGTTATAGAACACTCCCTTATTTACCACATAAAATGCAAAAATTATACATTTATGTTTGATTGTGTAGATTTCCTATAAAATGTATATGAGATATATGGAATCAAAAAGTGTGGTATGGATCAGTCCATACTATACCTACAAAATGCCACCGTGGGTGTGGATTGGTCTGTTCCACACAATCTATTCATAATTCAGAACAGCTATGGATTATGGTGTGATGTGGATTGGTCCCTGCCACAAAGTGTACAATTCAGAACAGCTATGGATTATAGTGTGATGTGGATTGGTCCTTGCCACAAAGTGTGGCGTGGACCAATCCACACCCACCAATTTTTCATCCATACTACAAAATACCCCCTATATAGACCATTTTACATATTTGCATTCACACTTATTTGCATCATTTTCAAACATAGCCTTAATTACGATAAAAAAGTACATGTTACAAAAGATTAAAAAATAGCACCCACACATTTTGTCTTTAACGCTGGCTTTTCCTTTTCGTCTTTTCACCAAAGATGTGCTCAAATGAGTACCCTTAAAAGAAATTTAGGGTAAATTAAAGATTGTCTCCTTGTGGGGTATAATTGTGACAATGGCCTACCCTGAACTTTTACATTCCATAAATTTGCTCCAGCCTTTAGCATTTTAAATATTTCCGAATCTCCGGACTGCCCTTATATCATTTTATGAGACCATTAAATTACCACAGCTAGATATATTAACCCATTTCTTGTTAATATATCTCTAGGTGGGGTTATTTAATGGAGGGAGATACATAAATGCATTCACTTCTGATTTTTCCATCATTCATTGTAGCAGGCAAACATCCCAATTCTCACATTTTACGGATGTCTTTTATTAGGTCACTTTACATTTTATTTCATTACATATTGTCTACTCAGTATTCAAACTGTTTAGAATGTGAACATTAATGAAATATCTATAGACCTTTTTCAAATTATTAAAATGTATGGATCACATAAACACTATACACAGCAAAATCTTTTTGGAATCTAAAATATTTCTGATGATACAGGTCAGCGCTTTCGATCTGGAGTTGATTCAGACTGTTCGGCCCAAGAATTGTTTAGGCAATCGGTTCTATTTTACCTTAAATCTGGCTTTTGGTCAATGATTTGCTGATTTAGGCAGTCAAATCGTCTACCCATTTGACGTTTTTTTTGGCTTTTCATAAATTTTCTTTTTATTCTTTTTTTACTTTTTAAGATGAAATGGGCTGTCTGTTCAAACCGGATGGTCGAACCATCAACTCAAAAATCAGTGGCCAAAACAGTTTCCACTCTGGATCGGTTTTTAAAACTTTGATACAGGCAACAAAAGAGTTTTCTAATAAAATACAAGTGGTTGGAGATTGATGAAGTTGTTTTCTATAGGAAGTGTTTCACATTTTATTTATTTTCTTTAATTATGTAAATGGGTTATTGTTTCTCTATTTTTCTACCAAATTATATAAAAGAAAGAATTGTTTATATTCTAGACAGCAAGGTTCAAAGTGTCGATACATATGATATGCAAAAATTGCGAATTTCATAATCTAGAGAGGGATTTTTTTTAAGTTTCAAGAATTGAACTATAACATCTCTAGAAAGGATATTAATCTTTAGGTGGCATTCTTTTTTTGGATTTTATGCAAAATTGCGAATTTCATAATCTAGAGAGGAATTTTTTTTTTAAGTTTCAAGAATTGAACTATAACATCTCTAGAAAGGATATTAATCTTTAGGTGGCATTCTTTTTTTGGATTTTGAGAGGGGGGAAAGTTGGTCAATGGGATTTTGATTCCCATTGACCAAGAAACCTATGTTCATTATCCAGGTAAGTGATACCCATCTCCTAGGTGGGTAAATTAACTTTCCCATCTAGGGGAAAGTTGCCAATACTTGGATGAGACAAAAATGCCCCTTTTAATAATGAAATTTTTATGGCTAAGATTGGCATTACCTTACATACATGGGAAATAAAGAACATGGATAAATACACTTACCTGGGTAAGTCTTTCTGGGAAACACTTACCCAGGTAAGTGCATTTACCCGGATAAATGATTTACTGAAAAGCAAACGGGGCATTAGAAGTAGACAAATGTAAAACTTTACGTACATATTACCGATACATATCAATATTTTGAACCTTGTTACAGAGAAAAAAAAGATTTCTGAAGTTGTAGAATAACCCCACAAATTCCCTTCCCCCTACCACAACATCTCACTCAACAAACAGGCCAACCCCACACACCTTGCCTTCCCTGTGCAACATGCCCCTCAACAACCACACTGCTACAAGACCCAACAGCTATGAACAAGTGAGTACAAGAATCCTAGACCAGACCAACTGACGTGACCAATAATAACTGGACCGACGAAACACTTTGTTGGCTTGTGCTGTTAAAGTAATTGCTGGCAGTCATGGACTTTGAATTGCTTCTATCAATTGCAAGCACAGAGCATTTCATGAACACCATTACTGTAACAATTTGGTTAAGTGTTCACATCTTCTGCAATCATGGTTCAAATTATTAATATGTATAAGAGGYAAAATTTTCCGTATTTTGAATGGTGGAAACACTCAGGGGGTGTTCAACAATTCGGTTGGTTTTGTCTTTTTTTTTAAAAAAAAAAAATAAAAATAACTGTATCATCAGAAAAATAATATGATTTTGTTGATGGGGCAATTTTCTTTTTTTTTTTAAATGTTTAACCATTGCTTTTTTTTTTACATTAATTAACCGAAATTAAACCGGTACCTTAATTTTTCAGAAACATCTAATCAATCAATTCAATTGACCGAATTTTTTAATTTTATTTGTCTGATTCAACCTTTCGGTTTTTGATAAAACCCCCAGTTTTAGGAATAATTATGTTAGGAGGTTTTCCAACATTCAAACCCATAGAAAACCCCGTATTTATATTTAGACTATATTTAATTTGAAGGAAAAAATAGAAAAACCTATATAAAGTTTGTAAAGGATTCTCTACCTTTCCTTAAATTTTTCTTGAAACCAAAGGGTAATATTATACATCGATGCGCTAACACGAAACTTGAAATAGGATGCAAGATTTGTGAAGGATTTGAAATTTAATTCAGTGTTGTCAAACGTGCATCGGGTGTTGAATCATTGCGGGTATGGGTTCATCAATCGACCTGACCTGACCAGGCCGACCTGATACTAGTAGCTCACCAACCGAGGAAGCAATAACTCTTAACCTATTTTACATCAAAATAAACTTGAAATAATAGATATTATGAAGTACTAACACCCGCTAAAACGTGAATTTGGGGGAATTCTGACCAAGTTAATACTTCTAAGAACCGGCATCCCAAGAATGGTTTGAACCGCTGGTCTGAACGGTCCAACCATAATTGACAACATGATGGTATATCGATATCAAAATTAAAAGAGGCACCAAAGACGGGGTGTGGATGGGAATTCGGATCAGATAGTCACGATATCGTAAGCACGTTAAATGAATACTTTCAAATTTTTTTGGCACCTATCCCTTGAAATACCCCCAACCTACCCTTGAAAAAGATTAAAGAAACATTTAACAGTTGTCAAAATATTTATAGTGCTCACTGAATGTGCTTCCTATATTGTGCCTACTGGATCCAGTCCCGTGGGTGGAGGGACCATCTTAACTTTTGCACTAGTGTAATTTATGCTGAAATAGGACCACCTTATGTGAGGGTTCCTCATCAAATCAAATTTCAAATATAGGTTGGAGAGGGAAAAGTGGGAAACTATACATCCAATACTCAATGTAACCAGTGAATGAGAATAATACTTATCAAAATATTATCAATAAATTAAGTAAAATGACTTAATTACTACATTATCATGAATAATATGAATTGAGATCAACTTTAGTAAACCTACAACATTGAAACCAACCTTTATTCATAAATACACATTAATTTGTTGTGGATTCATATTCAATCCAAACCATAAAATAGATCAAATCATCATCTTCCAAATTTTATGTCACTCTGTTTTGTTTAATCTATCCATTTATTAAAAATTATGAGCACGTTATCAAGTAGTCTACTTTCTCTTGTTTCTTTCATTTACAAAGTGTGTAAATGGATCAAATATTAGATTCAAATTTGAATTCAGAGGATACTGTCTGCAAGCCTAATTAAGAAGTCACTGCCATGCTTGTGAAAGTTAGCATAGGAATGGCGTGTGTAATTTTGCAACCAATCCAAAAGAATAAAAGTAGAATATAATGGGGTCCACAGTGTATGAAGTGAAGGAAGAGTCCTTTCTGTTTTGGTCCTCCATTAAACCATAATTGAAGGGGTGGTAGGTAATCCAAGAGAACCTCACTTCCCACATTCTTTCTTCTCACTGCCTACCGACACTTTCATTTACCAAAGTCAAACGTGAATGATACTAATTAAGAATCAAAAAGGAAAAAAGGGGTGGAGAGAGAGAGAGAGAAAGAGAGAGAGAGAGAGAGAGAGAGAGAGAGAGGACCCATTGAACATTTTTTGTTCTCTTACTTTAAATAAACTGAATTAATGCAAATATACAGATAGTTGTACATCTCTTTGTATAATGTTTTGAATTGCCCTAATGGCCCTGCTCACTCATCCTTTTCAATTCTTCAAATATAAGATGGGCTTAACCTCAAATACCAAACCACACCCAAGCAAGAATAGGTAAAAAAAAAAGGACTGATCCTACCTATAACAACATCAATCTCAAGATCTGAAGAAAAATGTCTTCTGTGAGAAGAGAGACCCCAGATGAAATTTAAAGAAAGAAAAAAGATGGAGACGGAGAGAAGCATGGAGAAAGTGAAAAATAAAATTCCTATTAGGGCACTTCAAATTAAATAAGAGGAATATAGCTCATTACTTGAATTGGAGGAACTTTCTTAACTTCTCCCACCATCCACCAAGGCAAAGGATTGTAACTTCCTCCGTATAACTGCCAATATGATTTTCCTGCCACAATGCAGAACTGATGGCTAGGACTGAAGGGTCTTTCTTTTTCCACTCTATCTGCTAAACATTTTCTTCTTTGGTATTTGTCTTTTATTAGCTCATTTGCTCCCCAATTAGATCAAGACCTACAAGGAGAAAGGTAATCCCTTGAAAGAGTAGAAAGTAAAAGTGGATCCCTTGTGCTGATAGAAGGCTGCGAATTGATGCTGTAAGTAGGAGGAAAGCTAGAGCAAGCTCTTTCCTGTAAATCTTGTTCATCTTTTTCCGAGAAGGTGGGGGAGGTGCTTCTTGTTGTTCTTTCAATCTATTGAGCTCAGACAGTTCACTCTCTGAGGCTCCTCTGTGGAGCTGTGGGAGGCTCATTGTCTTCGATTCCCTCTCTGCTGCAGCTAGTAGATCGGACTCAGATGACCTACCTGCCTTCTTGGTGACAATCCACTCATATGAGCTCCCCAATTGGAACAATCCAGATATCATGGCATTGAACTTGGTCACCGACATAGTATTCTCAAAGAGCAGGTAGGGAACAATGAAGGGGAATGATTTTGGAGCCGGGAGGATATTGAGGAATGACATGAAAACAGGGATATAACAGATGACCCACATGGGTAGCTCAGCCTCAGGTACAAACATGGTTAGAGGAAGGATTATGCAAAACAATGTGAAAGAATAGAATGGGAGGATAAGTTTTCTCAAGAGAAAGAATAGAAGTATTAAGTTTGATTTCTTCCAGAATGATATCTGCAATGTAACAACAGTAATGACCCCTCAGTAATATTCTAACCAATTTGTTTTCTATAGATAGAATTCTCACTGATATCTAAATGCGGAATCCATGAGTCAGTGAGAACCAAGTCTACCTTTGAAGTTATGATAGCTGGAAGGCACAATCGGAAAAGTTGCATGGGACCTGAATGCCATCTATGTTGCTGCTTCCTGTAAGCCTCATAGGATTCAGGAACTTCACAAAGGACCTGAAAATCAGTTTCATATAAGGTAAGATTGGCAAAAAGTAATAAAAATACTGTTCTGGATTCAATGAGATTAATTATCATTACCTTCACATCATTAAGGAAAATAAATTTCCAACCATTTAGATGAGCACGGACGGCTATGTCCATGTCCTCTACTGTCGTCCTTTCAAGCCAGCCTCCAGAATCCTCCAGCGCTTTGATTCTCCAGACTCCAGCTGTCCCATTGAAACCAAAGAAGTTTAAGAATACACCATTGACCTGCTGCTCCACCTCAAAGTGGAAGCACAGATTAATGTTTTGAAGCCGAGTCAACAAGTTCTCATCCTTGTTTACAAATGCCCATCGGGCCTGAACCAATCCCAGTTCAGGATTGTCCTGCAACACAAGGTAAAAGAGATACACTAAATACAAACTCCTAAACTGTGTAATGTGGAACTTGCCAAAATAAGCTATTACAATGCTTATCCACCTTAAAATGTGGAACTGTCTTCTTAAGGAAGTCTGGATTTGGTTGAAAATCTGCATCAAATATTGCAACAAACTCATACCCCTTCACATAATCACAATTCATTGCAGACTTGAGGTTCCCAGCTTTGTAACCAGTTCTAACCAAGCGATGCCGATATATAATGTTTATACCACGTTGGCTCCACTTGGAGATTTCCCCTTTGATTAACCACTGGATGCTCTCATCATCCGAGTCATCAAGAACTTGGATTAGTAAACATTCTTTCGGCCAATCAAGTTGACAGACAGCAGAGATAGACTGTTCATATACCTGAAGGATTGCCAATGTTGAGACTTATCAATTGAAACTAGTAAACATAACTGTTAAAGAAGTCCCTAAGTTTGCTCTAATTTCTACTGCCATGGTTGCTTGTTACATATATTGAAGACTTTCATTTGGACATTGTGCTTCACTAGCAGATTTGAAAGCATAAGTGAGTGAGAATTATGAGAAGTAGTGAAAGGGAAAAATAATGCGGACTAGCTTGTTACCTCTCTCTCATTACACATTGGAATCTGAACAAGAACCATGGGGTACTCGTAGCCAGATCCCTCAACATCCTCTGTCTTGAATGGATCCCCTTTAATCCTTGGCCTAATCTTCTTGTATTTGATCCAGAAGCACCCAAGACACAAAATCATCCTGTCCAAAGACTGGATTATGAAGAGGGCAACACAGAAGCTTGAAAGAGTTTGAATTAGGGGTGCAATGTAGTCTGCTCGGAACTCCAACCAGGCAACATACACCATGTGTAGCCAACCCTGGATCTCTGAGGTATGGGGGATGTGCAAATTAGAGCTCCGGAAATAATGCCAACCATTGAAGTGAGCAACCACCTCGAAAGCCAGAGTTGCCAAGGAGAGTGCCAAGAAGCCTCGAATGAATCTGAACAGCACCCTCCCCTTCTCCAGCTTCTCTCTTTCCATGGCGACTCCCTGCCTGAAAATCAACCTTTTCTTGATAGTCCCAAGCAACGCCCACAGGACATTTGCAAGCCAGGCAACACAACCAGCAGCTCGATGGGCCTTGAGAAGAAGGACCCATGTGAATTGCTTCGCGTTCTTACCACGGTCCTTGTCGACCGGCCGGAATGCAGCATCTGGACCATCAATCTCTAGAAGTGAGTAGTTGGGGTTCTCCATTGTGACAACAACTGGAGTTCCCTTCCGAGTCTCCTTCACCCACCAAGCAGAAAAATCCAAGCTCGGAGCCATTTCCCCCTCTGGAGGATTAGATTCACAAAAGAAAAACTTGTTCCAAATCCAAGAAACAGAGCCGTATAACCTCAAGAAATCTTCACAATCCAGATGGACCAGATCTTAAGAAGACGAAACCAAGACGACCCATCCCAAGTTGAGTGACAGAAAACCAGATCCCCCACTAAAAAACTCAACTACCCACTTCAKCTCTCTGCATTCCAGTCCTAATGCAGCAAGTAAAGCCAAAGATGGGTTGAGGAGTATTCTCCACACCTAAGGCTCTTCAAGCTACCCAGCTGGGAATCCACCATTATGGAGAAAGGTATCTGCAGTTGTAAAGCTCTAAACCATGTGGGTATTATTCAATAAATCCAAACCAACACTCATCCCTCCTTTTAACTTTCTAAATATTACCATGGGGTGGATTGGATAGGATAGATTCAGTTAAAAAATAACTATAGCCAAAAAAAAAACAAAAATGAAAAGAAACGAAGTATAAACAAAAGCCCACTAGCAAGAACAACCAGACCAGGTGAACAGTAGATAACACTCGACCTTTAAGAGACAACCCAGCTTAGGGTTTTGGATGTTGAACAGAATTAAAGTTGCAGAAGAGGAAAACGACGAGCTAAATAGGATCAATGATTAAAAAATAAAATGATAAAAAAAACTAAAGAAATGGGCTGAGGGGAATAGTTGCAGACAATGCAGATCCCAAATGTCTCGATCTTCACCAAATTTGAGCTCAAAAAGTGACGTCTCCCTCCATTTCAGCTAGTTCCCTCCTGTAAATATTGATTTGAGTGCTTAAAACCAGCTCAGTGTGATTATTAAAAAAACATTTAACAGACAAGGAAGAAAATTAACAACTAAAGGTCATTTTCTTTTTTTATTTAATCAACCGGTAATACAAGAGAATATTCTTTTACTTCTTTCATGTTAAAACAGTGTAAAGAATAACACCAAATTTCACAAGGAAGGACCAGTAATCACTCTGTCAAAACTGCAAATAACAACCCACGTAAACACCAAAAACACAAGTCCCTGTGCAGAACATTTTGTTGAAGATTTTCCGATATTAGACCCCAAAAAGCACCATTAATGGGTATTTTAGTTAACAACTGGTTTTTTATTTATTAATGAGACCATTAATTAACTGCCATTGACATCTAGATAGCATTAATGATCTGCAGAAAAACAAGATTAATTTAACTATTATGTCGCCGATCAAAATAATAGTTTCAGTATTCCTCACAATTCCTCGGCATCTCTAAGCGGAACGCGGGAGTGATTTGAGCACATCCCATTTTTGATACGTGCAAACCCCAAATGATTATTAAATAATATATATGTTAAAAGACAAAAGGTACCCTTCATACTTTGACTTTTATGGTAATGAACAGTAAACTTTTTGTCCTTGTGTAACCCGGTTGGTTAAAATGTGATATGTCCAAATCACTCTCCAATTAAGAAGTGCTGGTTTATTATGTGCATTTGAGTTCATGTAGAGAGGACTCAACACTCAAGGATGTAAAAGTTTTAAAAGTGACTGAAATGTATTGTTTTGTTTCTAACTGGATAAAACAGTTATTTATTAAACATTGGATGACTTATTTCTTTCTTCTGCAAGTATATAAAATAATTTAATGAAAAAATTTTGAGTGCATAATAACCAATACTTCTTTGCTTTCCACCTTTTAACATTCTGATCATCGTCCTCATTATCATCATCAGCCTTGCCCCAATTATAGCGGAATATTTGGCTCCTACCCGGTTGGAGGAAATGCGTCCAACCAACTGCCTTTAAGGTCTAGGGGTTAGAGGTTAGAGGTATTGGGATTTAAATATAAAAATCAAAGAGGTGGTTTGAGACTTTTGTTTGACCATGGTAGGAGCCAAGTAAAGCGCCCTCCCCCATCTATATATGGGTCCATATCCGTTACATTAAAACCTCATTCTACCATTCCATTTTAATGAATAAGGGTTTATTTGGTTCACAATAAATGGGGTCTAGAATTGGAATTGGAAACCATTTCAATTTCAACAATTTGATTGGGCAGAATTGCAATCCCATTCCCAATCTTAGGGGTGGGTTCGAGCCGAGCCAAATATTTGGCTATTTGAGCTCGGCTCGCTGAAATTGTGTTAGATTCGAGTTCGATTCAAGTTAGTGATTTGAGCTCAAGCTCAGCTTGGTTCAAAGCTCACAACTTCAAGCTCGACATCAGGCCAAGTTTTTTTTTCTAAAAGATAAAAAGTATACATATAAAAATATTTTTTTATTTTACATACAAAAAGTCAAAAATTATAAAAATTATTTATTATTATACATATAACAAATAAATATATATATATATAAATATAAATAACGTTTTTATTTTAGATACAAAAAAATAAGAATTATAAAAATTATTTACCATTATACATAAAAAATAAAAATATTATTATATAATAAAAAATATTTATTATATGTATTTATATATGTATATAATAAAAATTATTTATTTATTATACTAGGCTCACGAGCCTCACCAGCCGAGCTCAAATAGCTCGTGAGAAGCTCGGCTCGTAGCCACCCCTAACCAATCCTGTTGGAATGGCATTCTCCCATTTGAGAGCATGGCAATTCACTCCCCCTCCCTGAAATCCTTTTCTACCTTATTCCAACTTTGATTCCAATTCATGTCTGAACCAAACAAACTATAAGGAGTAGACCATTCAAATTCTGATTTCAATGCTTAGTTTTGAAAGAGTACAAATACAAATATGTACAGTATAATTAGATACACAACAATGCAAAATATAAGGTTCTGCACTCTACACATTTGTATTTGTACTTCTTCCAAACTGAGCCCAAAGGATTTTGATTCTGATTGTGAATGCAAACCAAATGACGCTAAGTTATTAAGGATGTGTTGTGGGCGCTCCTAATTAATGGCTGAAGTTAAAATTGGATTGATTATTATTTAGCCATACCTACAAATATGTTATTGTTATTCATAAAAACACAAAGCAATAAGTTCAGTTCAACCACTTCAGCTATTATCAAATGGACCCTAAGACCATGAACAAAAGGAGTGGCTGAAGTGTATATCTTGGTTGCTTTATATACTATATACAAATAAGTTATTAACATAATCAGTTACTAAAATCATATATCAATACGACATTAATTTGCCATAATTTTTTATGTAAATAACATAAAATTGATCAGTAATTCATTAAGTCTGCTTATGTTGTGCTGAATAAATAAGAAGAATTGTTACGCTTTTTTTTTAATATTTTTAGTATAAAATTTCCATTAAATCAGCCATGAACAAAAGATTGGAATGAGATGTTTGAGGTTATTAAGAAGGAAATTATTTCACATTTTGAAGAAATGAAGTAATTAACAAGTTTTCTTGGCAATAGAAAGTTGCCCCATTTCCTCTTGTAAGTAAAAATGATTCCATTTTATATGAGGATAATGTGAGATCAAAGCTATGGAAAACTAAAATGAAATGATTTTATGATATTGTATCCAAACAACATGGCAATCAGTGGATAAATTAGTGGTTCACTTTGAAAGAGACCCCCCACTTGATATTTTATGCATCTACATGACTGCACACATGGCTGGCTCTCAGCATACTAGTTGTCCATCCAATGTGTCAATTCTTAGGGAACAATGCACAAACAAAAGTACAACATCGATTCTTATAAATCACTACCACAAAAATGCTTTCATTTTTACCTTTCTCAAGAGAAGACTTTCTTTCTTTTCCTTTTCCAAGGGCAAAAAGAATTTGTAATTGCTGTAAAGGATGTTAGAAAACATGAAACCACACAAAATGGAGGAAAAGATATCCTCCTCAATGGGAAATTGAAATCAATGAGGAAATGGTAACCATATCTGGACAATTGCTTTGTATTCCATGATAAAGCAATAAAAGACCAAAAGAGAATTTGCTTGCTAATTGTTCTTTAGATCGATTTTCTTTTGAAAGTAAGAATGAAACCTTTTGCTTTTTCTAGTAGTTTCTTTTAAATTCTTTATGCAAACAACTTTGAAAAACAAACATGAATCCTAGCTATTGCTATTTGTATATTGCAAAAATGTATTTAAATACTTTTAGAAGTAAAAATAACATAAAAAAGTTGCACCTTGTTTTAAAGCAAGAATCTAGCTAAATACAACCAAGCACTTCTACATTTCTTGCCTTGATTGAATTCTTATCTATCAAAATTATTGTTATTGTTGACCTTGATTATAATGCTGCTATAGTCAATTTTCTTTAATAGGCATCAATTTTATTAGTTTTTATTAAATATGATGACTGCTGGTTAGGGCAGATTATATATATACTTTTTAAATCAACACGTAACCCTATTGAAAAGACAAAGAAAACCCCACGGATAATGGTAAGAAGAAACATTTCAACATGTAAATGCCTAAATGGGCGATACGATTGTAACCACCTGTTAGTGGCTTATCAAAGTGTCATATAATCCCCTCTTTTGGTCATGAGAAATGATGTTGTAAATTAATGATAATAGTTCATTAAATAGGCAACCCTCTTTTCTAAGTTGGCCATATCTCTAGTGGGGTCTGTATGAAATACTCATCTGGTAAGTTATTTGATTAAAAAGAGAGGAAAATCCTAACAAATGGGTACATCCGATATGTTGGTAGAGGTGTATCAAGCAGTATTGGTTGTTTTATTTTTAGTTTTTTTTCTTTTTTTCAAATTTGGTTTAGAGGATTTGGTTTAAGGTCCATTCATCCTCTGAACCGGTCAAAACCCCGATACACTCTTTGTAGGAGCGTATTGGAAAGCTCCCAATACGATATATCGACCGATACGTGTCAATTTTTGAACCTTGATTGTAACCTGGTCATTTATAGGATCTATATTACTAATAGATAGCCCATCCATCCATTGGTTTGAGAATTGGAATGGACTTCATAGTTAAGTCAGACCCATTCTACTTCAACGATGATTAAGTAGCTTTGACAGATTTTGGGTTAAACCAAGTATCAGACCCTTTTTTCGTTTCAATGTCTAGTCTGGTTTTCAAAACATTGCAATAGCATGAGATGTCTCATAATGATCTAATTCATCAATTTTCACACATATTTTCTAATTTTAATTTTTATTTGTTAAATAAATGTGATTTGTGGTGTTCACGGTTTGGTTAATCAAACTGTAAGCCTTTTTTTCAAACCGTACTGATGGTACTGATTTTTGGAAAATCGGTAACCAAAACCAAACTGAAGTCAATCAGTTGACTGGTCGATCGGTTCAGTTAACCACTGGTACAGTTCATCAGTTTTTTGGCTTTTTGAATTTCATAGTATTATATATAATAAATATAAAATAGTATATTATAAGTAATAAATATATATAATACATATATTCAATTATAATGTATAAATAATATCAAATATATATAATATACATAAATATATATATATATATATCGACCAGTTCAGTTAATTGTCGGTTTTTATAATGATTAACCGAAACCAAACCAATACTTATAGTTTTCTAAAATATTAAACCAAAACCGAACCAATCGATTCAGTTAACTAGAATTTTTGGTTTAATTTGATCGATTCGGTTCGGTTTTTCTTACTCACCCCTAGATTTGTCTTCAGATAGTTAATGGCCAAGGAAGACAACTCTTTCATAGCAGCAATAGGGGATTTTTGGATGGCTCAACAGGCTGGGTATTCGGAATGGTGGGCTCTTATTCATGCACTTTGTCGAGTTCATGCTCTTGAGATCTGT